CCGGGCCGTTCCCTCTGTTTGGTGCTGGGGCCCGGGCCGGCCTGGGAAGGGCAGGGCGCGGGGAGCTGAGCCCCCGGACGTGCCCCCCGCGGGCAGCAGGATGTGCAGCCCGCTCGGAGCGGGGCACCCGGGGCCGCACCTGCCGCCGCTCCGCTGGAGCAGGAAAGGGCAGGAGTTTTTGCTCCTGCTCCAGCTGGTTTTAGGCATGAAGCACTTTTGACAAATCCCGGATACGCAGCTTTCACGGGGATCACATCTATAGTGGGCTCAAGTGCAGTGTTAAAAAGCTCTCTGCTCTCTACAAACAGCTTGAGGGGAAGTGAATGGGCCAGAGCCTTAGTATTCTTATGGCAAAAAAAAAAGGAACTAGCAAAATACCCGTGGCAGGTAATGTACATAATCTTGACAGACAAGGATTTATAAGCCGTGGAAATATATTATTTAACCTCTGCCATTTTTAAGATGATGATGGAATACTCTTTCAGCAATGAGCTCCATTACGTTTTATGCTCATAGACTTTTTATTTTCTTGACACCACTTGCCTTTGCCCTCCCCAGCTGGATTTTAGTAATATAATTTGGCATGTTGTTCTTCTCGCAAATAAAAGCTACAGTTGCTGGCAGCTAATAAGGCTGTTTTATGCACTTGCTGGAAAACTGGAAGCAAGATGTGAAGGCAGGGAGGCTTCCACCTGCGCTTTCGCTCCCCAGCTGCGTGCACCCCCAAAGGCTGAACCATGTACCAAAAAGCACTGCTGGCCTCTCTTCAGCATGTATTACCTCACTGTAAAGCCTGAGCAGTTGTTCACAGGCTTCATACAGCTCACGTGGCTCTGGCACATTCCATCCATTTGGGAAGTCAGCATCTGCCTGGAGCACACTGAGGTCAGCATGGATGCCTGAAAGGCTGGGTAACCTCAGAGAAGTGCATAATGCATGTGGGAAATGCATGTGACAACATACTAAAATATTTGCAGGGATCTACAACTTTATTACAGATCTGTCATCCTTTAAAAGACAGTTGTTTAGAAATAGGGTGGCACTAGAACATATGCACAGTTAGAGTCTAAATTCAGGCATCGCTCCCTCCTAA